TGTTTGCTTTTGCAATAGGTAAATGTTTCTTATCAAAAACGATAAACGAATTTATCGTAAGTAAGACAGATACACAACACAGTGAAATGAAAATCTTTCGCGGAGAGAATTATTTTGATAAACAGAGAAGGTAGTTGGAAGATGGTGTGGGTGTGAGTGTCTCTTGTTTATTTACACCCGCACCCATTTATAAAGGAATTATTTTCGTACTATACAAGATATTCATACTGCACTTAATTTAACTATATTGATAAATGATGTTACAATATTTATTCCTATTGTAAGTAGTGATATAGTGAAAACACTTGTTGGAGGACACTATGTTTTTGGTTAGCATTATATTGAGAAGATTCTGTTTTTAGTAAAAATTTGTTTTCTTGCTTTTATTTTCAAAGGTTATATTAACAAACTATAACAATAAAGTTTTTTTGTTAAAACAATTTAAAGAAATATATTATGTTCATTATGCTTGATCTATTTGATTTTATTCTTATTTACGCATAATAACTTATTTTTATTTTTATTGAAAATATTAATACAATTAAATATAATGAACTATGTTTTTAATGAATGATACTGTTTCTATATGAATTTTATCTCATGTTAAATCTTCTTTTTTTCTAGTACATTAAAGCTAAAATTTGTTTTTATCTATACATTCTATATTATGATTTTATAAATTTCTTCTTTGCAAATATATTTGCTTTTTTATGATGTATTATTACAAAGTTTAGTTTTAAAATATTTTATTTCTAGAATTTATCAGTTCACCAATTAAGAATACAACGCAGTCTTGAAAAAATAAAAGATATTTCAATAATTTTCTAATTGTTTTATTTTAATTTAACTATTATTATAACATATCTTGTTTGTTTGATTAATCATGATTCAACTGAAAATAACATTACTACTGTTTTATGAAGATATTTAATCATATGAAATATTATAATAACCGAGTGTTCGTTGAAAATACATTAGATTTTTCGATTGATCAGAATGAAACTTTAATTTCAAAAGTGTTCTTGAATTTTTCTTCATTATTCTTTAAATAAAATCAACTTATTTCGTATATAATATCTGCTTCTAAAATATACACAACAAGCATCTGTGAAGTATGATAAGAAAAAATATTTATATGTGGACGTGCTGTTCTTGATTTAACAGAAACTATTTAAAAAATTCGTTATTATCATTAAAATATACATATACCCTAGATGATAAGATTAGAAATGGAAATTTAGATATATCTGTTTATCTGTCATATAGTTATTATATGATAACTATAGTCTAAATGGTTATGTTATTTTTCCGATACATAAAGTCAAATGCAAATGTTTGATAAAGTATTTAACTAGTAGAATTATCATTAATCAAGTAGTATACCTTCAAAATAAAATGTTAGGATGAACTATTTTATATTGTACAACTAAATATGTGAATAAATCTAACATCAATTTAAACATATAATTATATTTCATGAATAATGTGATTTTTCTTCATATAGTATTCAGTCATATACTTATAAAAAATTCTTTTCGTTTTTAGTTCCAAGTCTATTACTTATATTTAAATATATCATAAAAGTTTCGAAGGAAAAACAAAAAGTACATAGATAATTGTGTCACATTTATGTATAATATTCATTTTCTATGATTGTCTATTACTTTTCTCTCAGATGAATCATATTACATAACGAAGATTAGTTGTTGCTTCGTAATTGAAAAAGATTCGTTATGTGTTGTCAAAATTGGGTCATGGTTGCAACAACTACTGATGATAGTTAAATAGAACAGTCAATTAATTCAATAAGCCGAAACGAATCGTCGTAATAGTTTTTCGATCTGTACATATATATTAATTTAATTTATTTATATATCTTCATAGTAAAGGTCGAATACTTTGTTTTTTTCAAGAAAATCAAAGAAACAAGGTAGAATTACTTTGTTGATCATTTTAAATGCTCTAAACTAGTTTATTCAACATTAGAAATCATTGATTATTACAATATAATCTTTAATTCGTTTTTTTAAAAATAATTTCAAGAATTTCCAGAAAAAAGTTCGAAATAAAATGTCATATGGTGTTATTGAGATTCCATAGCCTACGTGAGACGTATTTTTATGAGAACAATTAAAATATGCTGAGATAAACCGAATTGAAATAAATTTTGATCCACTACTCTTCCTTCTATATGTATCGGTATTCAAAAAAAACCCAGAAAGTATACACAAATTCTTATTCTTCGATTGATGCGAAGGCATGTTATCTTTAAAATAAGCAAAATATTTTGTTTTGAAAAAAATATCTCGATATATATATATATACTCAGTAGATATATGTCAAAATCCCTCTCTTTTCTTTTTACGAAAGATACACGCACTACAAGACACATTTTGAGTGTGTAACAAAAATGTATGTTGAACAACAACAAGATATTTTACAAGTATATGAACAAAATCAGTATTCGATTCTTTCACGATAATATATATTTATTCAATTTCTATTTTGATTATTTAAAGGTTTCGATGTCAGAATATGTTTAAACCATCGAGCGTTAAAGTATATATCACTGTTATGATGCTAATTCTTGTAATTAGCACAAACTCATACAAAATCAATGAGTACACAAATGAAACAAACGGTATGTAATATTTTCATAATTCTATATAATATAATTATTAAATTTTCAGAGGTTGATGCAATCAATACATCGTTTTATAATGGCTCTATGGTTGCTCAACATCATAAAAAGCGAATACTACGTGCATTATCAAATGTGAGTAATTGTATTTTTTTTCCTATAATGATTCTATATCATTAATTCAAATGAATAGATAGATTTACCGAATGATCGAGGTTATTTTGATGTTTATATTCGTCGATCATGTCATGATGAACGTCAAAATTCATTTGAACAAGTCCGTTTTCCATATGCTCGATATAATCGCCGTCAATATAGTAAAAATCAATTATTTATTTTTATTTATATACACAAAAAGAACAAATTTTCTTATCAATTCTAGGATTTTCGAGATCATGGATAAGATTTTCTCGATGGATGCCAATTTATACCAATATATTCAATCGTCATACTATGATTTATTCATCAAATGGAGGTATATTTAAGATTTATAATGAATAAATATTATATTATTATTTTTAATTCTAGTTTATATTTTACCTCCATTGGTTACTGCTTATGGAAGATTAATTTCATTAGCTGAATTAATGGCATATGGATATGCTACTATGCTTAAGACTCATGTTCTCATGCCATCATATTTTGATGCTGCGTATTATGCTCATTCTGGTGGATGTTAGTATATCTACTATGAATATATAATTGTTTACTATTATTTTTTTTTCGTATCATTATATAGATTTAATGCGAGGTATGCCACGATTTAATCCAGAAATAGGTGTTTTTATGGGTGGTGTGCAAAGTCAGTATCAATCATTATTCAAACCAGAATGCGATTATGAATATGAAGAACATACTGATGACGAAGAGCCGATATCATATGAAAAAGAAGATAATGATGAATATAAAAAGCCAGAAAGAAAAAACAATTATTATTATAGACGAAGACATCGACCACGACCATATGATACAAGTAACTATAATAGTTTTAATAATCATACATATATCATTTGTAGACTCTTCAAAGAATTAAAAATAAGTTAAATTTAGATATAATCGTTTTTTTCTATACCAAAATATATTGAGTAATAAACTAACTTATGAGCATCTAAAAAAACAAGATCTTTTTATTTTACTTTTACTAAGTTTACCCGAAGAAAGACAGAATGCAGATTAATGATAAATTTTGTTTAACAAAATTACTATTGAAATACTCATTTGAAAACACTAACAACAAACTATAAAACATTTTCTTTCGCCTTCTTAAACAAAACTTCTCCGTTGATAATGTCAAAAAACTTAAATGACTCTTTTTTTGTAGCTACAACAAAGGAACAAGAAGACCAATCGTCCGAAGAAACAACAACAGAAGAATACTACTCATCTGAAGAGACAACAACAGAAGAATACTACTCATCTGAAGAGACAACAACACCAGAATACTATTCATCTGAAGAGACAACAACGGAAGAATACTACTCATCCGAAGAGACAACAACACCAGAATACTATTCATCTGAAGAGACAACAACAGAAGAATACTACTCATCTGAAGAGGCAACAACAGAAGAATATTACTCATCTGAAGAGACAACTACTAGCACCACCACTAAACGCCATTTCACAACACATAGTACAACACACAGTAGTACACGCACAACAACGGAAGGTGGGAAAACTAGTAATACAGTAGTAAGAACAGAGTCGTCATCTGAAGAAACTATGTCTCCAACGCATTCATCTTCTGAAATAATGCGATCTACTACACAGTCGACAAGTAGAACAACCTCACCCACAGCCACACCCACACCCACCACCAAAAATCATTCATCAGCTTCAACAATACAATCTATCACTCACTCCTCAAGCTCAACAACAACTGAAGAAACAGCCACAGTTCCATCAATAACAGCAGCAACAGTTGAAATAACAGTTCAGCAGGCGAAACGACACCAGCAGCAGTTACAACAACAAGCCAGACAACACCGACATCAGTTACAGCAACAGGCGAAACAACACCAGATTCAGTTAAAACATCAGGCGAAACAGCATCAGCTTCAGTTACAACAACAGGCGAAACAATATCAGCATTGGTTAAAAAAACAACAGGAACTGGTAAAACAACACCAGAATCAGTTAAAACAACAGGCGAAACAACATCAAAATCAGTTGCAACAACAAGCGAAACAACACCAACATCAACTACAGCAACAGGCGAAACAATACCAGCATCAGTTAAAACAACAGCCGCAACAGCTCAATCGAGTGAATCATCTGTGACGTAAGGCGCGCAGCCAACAGTCGCTACAGTTGGTACAACAGGAAGATCAGGAACTTGGCATACAACAGAAAGATATGCGTCAACAAGTGCATTCATCAACGGCTTACTCTAAGTCTGCTGTAACTAATTCTCATCGTGTACCACCCTATGATGGATTTTCGCCTAGTGGAATACACAATCCAACCCCTATATGTTTACAGTGATTATCGAGTTCCATTACATATCTATCAACGGCTGCATCTGGCATTAGTTCAGAACCTTGTGATGATGAAATATCTTTGTTTGAGCATTAAATTTTTACCATGTTTTTTTTAAGTATTTTTATTTATGCATTAGAGGTCTTATTAATATTTGTTTCAATAACTATATGATTATGGTTATTGTGAATAAAAGATGAACAATCTAAATTTATAATCACGTTGTATATTGAGTATTTTTGAAAAAAAGAGAAGAAATGTCGTTGAACAAAATTTTATAACTATGTATAACAAAAACTATTGAAAAAAATAGTTTTTCGATTGTATACATTTCAAGAAGACATTTGAGCGAGACCAACAACATGAATTCGATGTAAACACAATCTTACTGATATTTATCAGTCTTCATCGGGACCATAAGATTCAGAATTCACTTTTTCTTCTTTGTTTTGGTTGGTATCAATGTTGTATCATTTTGAAATATTCTTAGGCATAAAAGATGATGATAAATGATATATGAGAGTATAAAAGAAACTTGACAGTAGGCTTTGGTGAGTGTTTATCAAATAAATATTTACAAAGTGTCTCGTGTAATAATACAAAAAATAAGTTGAAGATACTGTCGTTCACATTAAATGTACGAATACAGTACCTATACGAGTGTGGGTGTAAGTAAACAAGAGACACTTACATCTACACTTCACATATAGTTCAATATTTATTTTCAATGAATTATTATTATAATTAGAAAAGAAAAAGAAGAAAAACATTACGTTTTTAATTAGATACGACAAACATATTAAAGAGGGGAATGTGAATATATAATCTTTCGAATTATTTGTTTGTTAACAGTGTGGTTATGTTTCTTCATTAAGAAAGTGTTTGAAATATCGATAGAAAGCTCAATATCTTCTCAAATACATAGGTCTCTTTTAATACAAAGAGTATTTATTAATATGAAAATTTTTATCAGATAAAACAAGTATCAGAACTTCACAATAACTCTAGATAAATTTAACAGTAAATTAATTCATTATTTTTCAATTCAAAAGAGTTTTTTATTTTTAAGTGAATAATAAATGTTTTCGCATTTTGTCTGTTCACTCATAAAATATGGTTGTTAATATATTCTATTTCTGATTGTGAAATTGATTTTATTTACAGCTAATATTCATAGTTTTGACGAAAGGCTAAAATTTTAGATTAATATCTAAGCAAGAAAAAAAAAATATTGTAACAAGCTGCCTTTGGGAGCTATTAAATTTTTTTCTCATAAATATGTGTGTACGAAAAAAAAAACGAATCGCAAGTGCATTTTTACGATATTTTTATATTTTTTGTTTCTTTTCTGCATCTCAAAACGCTATTATGCTTATTATACAAAAATGTGAATCAATAATCGACGAGTTATTTTTACCTTTAATATTTATTTAATATCGTTTTTACACAGAAATCTTTGTTCTTAAAATGTATGCTCGATTATAAACGATGAAAAAAACAATCAATGAATAATCACATTTTAAGAGGTGTGCACTTTGATATTATATAAAAGTACATTACTTTTTGATGAATAATTGATCACATGATTATAGTGCATAATAAAATGTATAAATACCTGCGTTTTATATAGAAAGTAAAACATTATATAGTTACTAACATTAAACAAAATCAACGTACAATGGATCATCAAGGACCTGCACATGGAGAACATGGTGGACAAGGTGAAGGCCATCATCAATGCTCAGGAGATAAACAACATGGTGGACAACACCATGGAGAACATGGTGGACAACACCAAGGAGAACATGGTGGAAAACATCATGGAGAACATGGGGGACAACACCAAGGAGAACATGGTGGTCAACATCATCAAACACCACAATAAAAAAATTTCTAATTTGAACAAGGACTAACTTTCTATTTATAACTGTAGTTTTTATGTGAAATGTTTCTAATTTTCGCTTATAAAAAATAAACATTTGAAGAAAACCCATGTACCACTTATAAATGTATTATTACGCCAATCATGTCAAATAATATATTTGATTAAATATATCTTGAGGATGTGGATCCCACACCTTCAAAATGCACACATACGGATACATATATTATACTTTACATAACAAAAAGCAATGTTTACATAAGGTAAAATGAAGGAAAAAAAGAGTTTTATTTTATTCTATGTTTGCGAAATCAAATGTTAATTAACGGAGTTGATGAGGAATCTTGTTTTACCTTGTAACAACGATTAACAGAATCTCGTTTTAACTTTAGAGAATGTTGTTGACTAAGATATAACTATAAATAGAAAATAAATGAGATATACAATAAAAATCAATCGTATTCTAATACTCGATTCAGTGAATCTAATAATTGATCAATTTTATCTGGAAACGATTCAATTGGATCATAATATTGATCACGCATTTGTTGATCACGTTCTTCATATTCTCTCCATTGATCGTCATGACCAATCTCTAAAATTAAATTATATATTAACATATAAGAAAACAAAATCTATTACTTGTCCAACGTTGAACTTTATTAAACATAAATCTAACAATATGTTGCTCATGATTATGATTAAATTTAAGATTATTTCGAACAACACGAAAATTATCACTTATAATTGTAATAAACATCGTCATGCAAACAAATACAATCGTAAAAATAAATAAACTAAAACAAATTGGACCGAGAATTGGATCAGCATCAAGTAATTGATATACATCAAATTTCATTAATGTCATTTCAAATAACATTTGTGTTGTATGTAATAAATTCGAACATGTATAAAGTTTTGAATTAAGTATTAAATAAAATAATATGATATATGCTAGAAATATAATCATAAACATGAATAGAAATGAAATAATTTCTTTCCAAGCATATTTAAGTGTTTCAGTAAAAAGTAATAATCTCGGATGAAATCGAGCAAGTCGAATAAGTTTAATTGTACCAAAAAAACAACAAAATGATAATAATAATGTAAGTATATCATTAATATAAACAGCTGATTGTAAATTAATATAACTAAATCCTTTTGTTTCTTGAAAAAGTTCTCCAATATGATTTGATTCTTGAAATCTTACGATATAAATTCCAACACATGTCCATGAACATATTATAATTCCAATATCAATAAATGACCATATATGACGAAAATAATTTTGTTTTTCTCGTACAATATTTTGAATTTGTATACACATCATATAAATTATAAATAGTATATAAAAAATTGCACATATTATTTGTCCGAGTGATGTAAATACTAAAATTATATACAAACAAAAAACATCAATAGAATGAATATATAGAAAGAAATTACATTGAAGAGAAAATGGTTGAAAACTAGATTGTGTATAAATACCACCTGTTGATGAAAATTCAGTAAGAAATGTTGCAGAAGTAAATAATTGTATATTTGGATTATATAATGTAAATTGAAGAAAAATAGCTCGTGTTTGACTATCAATCCAACTTAATTGATAAAGTTGAGAAAGATTTGTTTGTAAATCAACTAATCGACCACGAAATTCATAAACATAACCACCACTACCATAGGTTCCAAATTTACCTATTGAAATATATGTTTTTAAATTACCTCCTGTTTGATAAATAAATGCTTGTTGAATTGATGAACTATATATTTGATTTGTTTGATTAGTTAAATTCCATCCAGGTTGAAATGAATCTTTTTCATTACTTAATAAACTATAATCATATTGACATTCGGATTGAATAGACATATGTTGAATATGACATGATTGAGATTTAATACGTAATTGTCTCATTGTTGCCCATCCAATAAATCGATTTGTTTTATCATTTAAATAACCACTTAAATTTCGAGGTGGATCACCATTATACCATTGTTGAGCACGAATATTTTTCACGAAATTATTTTCTAACCAATTCCAATATTGACCCATTGTTGAAATCTATAAAATTCATATATATATATTCTCTCGACTGTAGAGAGGGTCATATGAAATAAAATAGTTTGTGTCAAGGTCAAAAAAGGGTGTGGGTGTGTGTATTTAGCTCGGATTCATTACCGATACCCATACTCACACCCAGATTCATACACCCACATTCTCAAAGTTGAGACGGCGGGCGTTACTTGTTTATAGTACAAATCAAAAATACCTTTGTATAATCATCATTGGTACTTCTAGTATTTAGAAAAAAGTTTCGTAAATGTTGAACTTGTAAGAATGCATTTCGATTTTTATTTGAATAAATAATAACATAGAGTAAACAAAGATAACCAACATAATTTAATATTTCTCGTATAATTGCCCACATTTGTACATGTTTTAAACGTTGTTCACGTGCAAAAGCTACTTCACCTTCTTCAAGACGATTGGTATTATTCCCTGATCGATGATTAAACGGTGAAATATCCTACAAAAAATTAATTTATTATAATATGTTCTTTTTATGGAAAAAACATACTTCAATTGCAGGAAAATATTCTTCATCATGAGCTAAATTAACATCATCATTCATATATTCTGCTGCTTCTTTATCATTATCTGGTTTTCGAATAATATAAGCAAAAATAACAGCCACTGATATAATCTTCACAAAAACAAAATACAAATAAAACATTTTCTAATCATAATTCATTTACTTTAATCGGTTGAACAAGAAAAATTGACGAAAAAAATCCACTAACTAATGATGTTAACCATTTCTGTGTTTTTAAATCACCAAATTCAATTCCTTTGACAATAATAAAAAATATCGATATAACAGTAAGTAATAATGAGAAGCCATATGCAAAAAAAATACACCACCAAGGAAATTTGATTTGACCTTTTTTCTTTTTATCATATTCAATCGATGTTTTCCTAAGTATAAAAATATCTTCTTTTTTTTCAATAGAATAAATTTTATTCCTTACGTTATTGGTAATTGTTTAAGTTTAAATATAGCTTGATGTAATGCTGAAACTTGCTTTTGATTATGTCGAGATCGAATACGTCGAAAAAATTGAATAAGTAACAGACTAGGAACAAATACAAGTATTTCAACAATTACACCAATACCAATCTAAATATAAAACTCTACGATTAAATATATATTAAAAAAATATGAGAAACTTGTTGAGGTGTAATATAAAGAGGACCAAATGATAGACTTGTTGTATTATTCGCTGCTTTTGCTTCTGATATTTGATTGTAATACAGAATATTTAGAAACATTGATTGAAATAAGAAAACAAAACAACATGTACATCGTTGAACTCGTGTAAATTTATCTGATGGTGGTCGACTAAAGATTGAAAACCAAAGATGACCTTCCGATACACTATAATATGCTTTTTTTGCTAAAAGATAAGAAAATTCTTGTTTTTGTAATTCACCAGCAATGGGTAAAAGACGTTCAATCTATATGTATACAAGAAATTTTTATATCAAAACTTAAAATGCAACCTACAAGTCCATCATCTTTTTCAACAGCTAACCATTTTTGACAGATAAAATAAGATTTTTCCATTGTTTGTAAATCACGAACAATAATATATTTAAGAAACCATGATGCTGAACTACCTGGACCTGTATTATCATGCCATAAACGAATATAATTCAATGGTCCCAATGACTTTTCAACAGACATAACAAATGAATCAATTCCTCCACGTTGAAAAATCTTTCTATTGGGATCAGCAAATATTCGAACTTGAGTTTCATCTTGATCACCAGCAAGTATAAAATGTACCTATAATGTATATTAATAATACAAAAATATATTTATAATGGTTATACTTTTGATTTTGTTCCTGAACGTTTTCGATGACCAGTAAAAACAATAATTTGATAAAAATATTGATCTTGTTTTAGATTATCAGGTAGAATTGTTACTCCTAATTTTTCAATATCTTTTTTATCTTTATAACGTGCATAAATAATTAATAAGATATATATTATGGATAAACATATGACAGTTAAATAAATAGTTTTATTTTTATTAAAACCAGCATTAGCAAAAACATAATTCCAATTAATAGGCTCGGGTAAAACAAGAAAACCACCTGCAAATGTTGTTAAATGAGTTGAAAAACATTGTGTTTTATAATGATCCGTTAAAGGTCCAACTAGTAATCCATCTGATTGCCAATTATTATTTTTATCTAAATAATAACAACCGGATGTATATGTACGAAGTTCATAATTTTCGGTAAAATTAAATGATTGATCTAAAATGGGTGGAGTATTAATTGTTGAATTTGAACAAAATTTCTTTTTTTCAGTTGAATTTAATTCACGTAAACCAAATATAACTGATTGATGACCAACTGTATGTTGATTATCAATAAAATAATTATAGTGATCATCACTGGTTAAATCTAAAAAAAGAATTATTCGAAAAAATCGGTTCATCATCTCATAAAACTTACTTGAAGGACAAAATAATGACCAACCATCAATTCGATTGATTGAACTATTTAATTGAGGTGTACTATCAAATCTATAGATTAATAAATAAGCGAGAGTTATTTGTAAAGGATGCATTTCAAAATGAAGTGAAACTGTTATATTAATATTCGATTGTGTTATATTAACATAATGTAAATTAAATAATATATGATTAAGTGATGTTACATTTTGTAAATTCATTGATGGTAAAATTAAATTAATATCACGTGGAATTATAAATTCAATTGATTGATTAGTATGAACAGAAATATCATTACCATTGTGATCAAGTAATGAAAGTGAAATTGATGTTGAAAGATTTGTATATGATTGTGTTTGTGATTGATCAGATGATGCCAATGGTTGTATTATCGACTAAAAATAAATCAAAGAGAATTATGAAGAAAATAAAAAGTGAATCACAAACACGAAGTGATATTGTTTCATTGTTTTGAATATTTATATTAAAATTTGATGGAAGACGAATTTTTGCATCTCCCATTGGTTCAACAAGTTTATTTGAAAGTGAATTAATAGAAGTCGTTTCTAATGACATAATTACAGATGATGTATTCATTGTTATATTTTGACCAATATTTAAATGAATATTTAATGCAGATGTTAACAATGATGTTATTTGATTGACTTGAGTTGTGATTTGATTTGCTGCTTGTTTTTGATAATAATTATATCGACCTTGTTCAATTGCTTCCCATGAATAATCGTTTCCACCATCAACTAAATCTTTGCAAAAATAAAATTAATCTTATTGAATAAAATTCTGTGTATATATTTCTTACTTGGATGAGCCCATACAGATTCAAGATCAGTATCATAATCACTTGGAAAATTAGTTGAACGTGAAAAATCTAAATCAAGTGTACTTGTTCGTTGTTGTAATGGTCCATTAATAGCCTATAGAATATAATTTAGAAAACTTTTTATTATCGTTAGTCAAATCTTCATACTGTTAACACATTGGATGCGCATTGTGAAATTTGATTAGCTGTAATTTGAACATCTTCATATGGAATTTTGTTTGACATAGAATACAAAGCTTGAGCTAATTGATAACATTTATCAGATGCAAGCATCTATATTCAAATAGAAACGGATATAATTAACTAATATTGAGTAGTAACGATTTTACCGAAGTTTTTTGTGTTAATTGATTTGTTGCTTCAGTAAATCGAGCTAATGATGATGCTTGCAGCTTAATACTATCTGATGTAGTAATTAGAAGATTACTTGTAAATGTTATTAGATAATCTCGAACATTTGCATAACTATTCAATTGAGAATTATATTCAATAGTAGCAGAATTATTCACTGATATTATTGTCTAATCATAAACAATAAAAAATAGAAATAAATTTAGTTAAAATAGAGAAAAGTAACTTACCGTTTGTGAAGCTTGACTTTCTCCTAATGATGAAACTGAAATAGTTGTTGCAGAAATACCATCTAGAAACATATCATATAATTAAACAAAAATAGAAAAAGATTATCTACTCGAAATAGCATCTTCTATATTTTTAGTATTGACATTATTAAATTCGTTTGAAAGTGATGTAATAATTTGTCCTACTGCATTTTGATTGCCACTTGAAAGTATTCGAACAAGTGGATTACTTGTTAATGAACTTGCTGAATTTTGAAAGGTAGTAATTAATTTATTAATACCTTCTGAATCCGATTGTACAATTATCGGTGACATGTAATATTCTGTTATACAATTCGATGTATCACGAATATTAATAATAATATTAAGTAATGATGTAGTATCATTTCCAGCAGGTAAAAAAACTTGAAAATTTGATACGGCACTAAATGCAATTATAACTTTTGTTGATATGTCTGCTGTGTAAACATATAGTGAATAATCTTGAATACCATCTTTATCGAACCAATCGGGACATGAAATGGTAAATGAAGTACTTGTTGTACCATTTAAAGAACTAATCGAACAAGAACCGTTCGTAGGAGGTTGATTAATAATAAAATTCAATGCACTTGAACTTGTATCTGAGGAAAATGAATACATAACTTCAAATTGCCAATACATTATTTGTGGATTATTAAGAAATAATTGATTTGTTGCTGTAAAATTACTTGTATTCACACCTGAATGAAATTATATAAGAAATAATATAAATAAAAAAGAAATTTTACCAAAAAACCAATTATTTTCATATAAATTCATTTGGTTAAATTTGACCCATTGAACAGTTGTTGAAGATCCATTGTCAAAACCTTGATATACATTCCATGTTATATTTTTTATTACTGTACAATTATCAGGACAAATAGAAAAAAGTGCTACTTGTGTAGTTGGATTGACAAGTTGAAATTCTTGATTTTCTGAACATAATGTTGAAATAACACAAGCAATATAAATCATCGGTGATTTAATAATCTCAACTTGAACAAGTAAATAACCAGTTGCTGTACGACTTGAATTTCGACGATTTACCATATAAACCATAAATTGATAAGTACGATTTGATGGAAGTGCAGTTGGTAGAATTTTTATGGATGATTTTAATGAGCTATTACTTCCACGATATTGTAACAGTGTACTATTTTTTAAACATGATGGATTCTGTAAATCTACTCTTGAATCATCGACTGGTATTAATACTCCTTGAATATTTGGAAAATTATATGAACTATAAATTCGACAATAATATTCATATGTCCAATCCTATTCGAATAATAAGAGCAAAAAATAAATAAATTGATTTTAACTTACGGTTCCATTAAATGAATTTTCATCTGGATCAATCGAATATTGTCCTGGATCAAGTATTAAATCTTCTTGATATCCATGTGTTACATATAATGTTCCTAATTGAACAAGATTTGGTGTAATACCTGTTTGTGTAATTTCTACATAAGCCGAAGCTGATGATGTCATACGAGGTGCTGCTACCATTGTTACAGTTAATTTTAATTCATAAAGACCATAAGGAAGAGTTCGAGCTGGAATAAAAATTTCACTATTTGTGGTACTGATTGTTTGATCAATTACAATTTGTTGTGAGCAAATTGAAGTACAATTACTAATGGTCCATTTTGTTATCATTGCAAGTGAAGTATTACAATTAAGATAAATATTTGAATTAATATAAAAATCTTGTTGTCGTTGAAATTGCAGTGGAGACGCTAACGACGATGTACTAGGAATTAATATAATTCCAGGTGGAAAACAACCTTTATGGAGAAAAAAAAAGAAGACATGTATATGATTTTTAGTAGCATAAAATTATTACTTTGATTTGAAATGACCATGTTTGAAGTTGAAGCCAATATTTGATTGGTACTTTGAGTTGTAGGTTTTAAAGAAGTTGTTGTTACATTGATTGAATCTGTAGTTAATTGGGCCTGATGTGTAGCAGTTTGAGTTGCAGTTTTTAAAGAAGTTGCTGTTACTTTATTCGTTGTTATTTTGGTTGAACTTGTAGTTAATTGGGCCTGATGTGTAGTTGCTTCGTCTAAAGTAATAAGTATTAACTTTTTCTTCAGAAAAAAACTTACAACATGCATTATTTGATAAAAGAATTTTTTGAATTCGGTTATTAATTTGGTCAGCAACAAAAATATTTCCATAGCTATCAAAACTCATGCTAAACGGATTATGTAATTGTGTTGGAAATGGGCCACCTGAATTACTACATGCGAATATACATCGAAAACCTAGTGGTCCAGAACCAATAATACGACCACTACCACAATCCACAATAAATAGATAACCATCACTATCGAGCACAATTCCTGTTGGATGACTGAGAGCGATGTTTCCAGATACTGAAGCTCCAGTTCCAGCTACTGTGGTAGCATTTTGTTGACCATGCTTAAAGAATTGAATTCTATTATTTTGACTGTCTGCTACATACAAATTAATATTATTATCAACAAATATTCCACGAGGCTGATTAAGCGCATACGCCGTTGACCCAGGTGTGCCAATTCCAGCAATACGTGTTGATTTCGGGTCATTATTATTCAATGATCTTGTTATAACTTGATGTAGAGTAATCCCATTGGAACAGTACAGTAAATTGTTGGTATCGACAAAAAGACCGTAACATGTTTCGGTAACAGTCAGTGCGGATGTACTTGTAACTGCATTTAATGCCCATTTATCGACTCGACGGTTATTGCTGCCATTGTCAACATAAATAACACCATAGCTAGTGACAAAAATAGCTTGCGAACTTTGTAAAGCACTTGAAATGGTTCTTGTTGGATTGCTATGTCCTACAGGCCATACTTGAACACGACTGTACGCTGATTCTCCAACATAAACAGTGTTGTTGATGTTAACAAAAACACCACTAGAATAAAGACCAATTGAAAGCCAACTTGCAAAAGTTTGGGCAGTTGGATTCCACGTTGCTAATGGGCAAAACTTTGGTCGATTAAATGATAGACCTGTTATTTGATGAAACAAAAATACTGTAATTAGCAATAGTTTGAAACTATTGACTAATGACATCTTCTTGACAAATTTTACTTGTGATTTGTTACCAACTTTGATTAGGAGAAAGAATAAAATGAAAAGAAATTTTTTTGTCATCTTTATTTTTCATTCAATAATAAATATTGACTTCAATTCTCGGGCATATAATTAATCAAATTTTTTCGGAAAAAATATTTATATTTGATCAGCTGATTTTTATTTTAAGTATTTTTGAACGTCTAGAACAGATTTTTGAGTTCATGTTCAAGGTGCGGACACTCAATTAATAATATAATTCAATTTCTTCGGAGAAAAAAATAAATATTATATTTGATCAAACAACAATTGAATATTCAATTATTGCTCATATGACATGTCAAAAACAATATTCCTTGATTTCTTCAGTCATGTGTTTATAAAAACAAAAGATATCGATTATATCGTTTTCTTATTCTGTGACGTAGTTTTGTCGTTCTTATCATATATGACTATTACAAAAGAAATAAAAGAAAAGTAAATATATATACGCACACATGTGTTTTACGAGATAAAATAGAAAGTCTGTTATCATTGTTGTTTATTAGTTTTGTAAAATAAAGATCATTATACTAATTTATTAAATATTTCAGATGACATCATCAATAACTTCTACAAGTAAATTACGAATGGGTATGATCGGTGGTGGCCCAGGTGCATTTATTGGTGCTGTACATCGTACAGCAGCTTGTCTTGATGGTGAAATTCAATTAGTATGTGGTGCTTTTAGTTCTGATCCTGAAAAGTCTCGTGAAATGGGTAAACAATTAGGACTTTCAGAAGATCGAGTTTATGGTTCATATAAAGAAATGATTGAACAAGAACAAAAAACGAAAGGTATTAAAGAGTATCGTTAATAAATTTAAATTTTTATTATTATTTCAGGTATGGATTTTGTCGCAATTGTCACACCCAATCATGTTCATTATGAACCTGCTGTTCTTGCTCTTCGTGCTGGTTTTGATGTTGTTCTTGATAAACCTCTATGTTTTTCACTTAAAGAAGCACGTGAACTTTCACAAATTATCAATGAAACTGGCCGTACTCTTTGTTTAACACATACATATACGGGTTATCCAATGGTGAAACAAGCACGTCAAATGATTGCACGTAATGATCTTGGTTTCATTCGTAAAGTTTATGTTGAATATCCACAAGGTTGGTTAAGTCATGAAGATGTTAATTCAAAACAAGCTAAATGGCGTCTTGATCCAAAACAAAGTGGTCCATCTGGATGTTTAGGTGATATTGGTATACATGCATTTAATTTAGCTGAATATATTACTGGTCTTCAAGTTACTCATGTATGTGCTGATTTACGATCAGTTGTTGAAAGTCGTCAACTTGATGATGATGCTAGTGTACTTTTACGATTTAATAATGGAGCAAGTGGTGTTTTAATGGCTTCACAGGTATGTTAGCATATCAAATCTTTAATCAAAAAATAATTATTCTATATTTTTAAAGATATGTACGGGTGAAGAAAATAATTTAAAAATTCGTGTTTATGGTGAAAATGGTTCGATTGAATGGCAACATGGTGATTGTAATACACTTGCAGTACGATGGTTTGATAGTCCTACAGAAATTTATCGTACAGGAACACAATATCTTTCGCAAAGTGCAATACATAATACCCGAGTACCAGCTGGACATCCCGAAGGTTATATTGAAGCATTCGCAAATATTTATCGTAATTTTAAACGAACAATTTGTGCAAAGACTAACAACGAAAAAAATCCGTCAGAACAATGGGAAGATTTTCCCAGTATTAAAGAAGGTGTTCGTGGAATGGCATTTATTGAAACTTGTTTAGCTAATAGTAAAAATAATAACGAAAAATGGACTGAATTAAAAGAATAAATAACAATAAAAAGAATTGTGCAAATGCACTATATTGATTGAATTTTATAGATTTGATCTTATTTTGTAAGAGAATAAAGGTTAGGTTATACCATGTGGAAGAGATAGATGCACGCCTCGAGGGCATGTATGAGAGGAAAACATATGTATGACAGAACGACAAAGTGATACTGTGATTCCAAAAATATACATACAAAGAGATAGGAATCGAAAGAGAAAAGGATAAAGCAGTACATAAAAATATAGAAGAAGAATATAGGGCATCGTGACCGTTTCACCCTGTGATAAATAAAGAATATTGTTTATTATTATTTTGAGAAAACAAAGTGACATCATTCTAAAGGAAAAAATATCTCCTACAATCAAATCATTAAAAAAATATAACGAGAGTGTCATCTTTTCCAGCTTTCTCTATATTGATCCATGTTATTATCCAATACATTTTTTTTCTCTTTCTGTTCGTTACAAGTGTGAAATTCTTTTAGAGAAACGAGCGATGGAACGCGAGAGTGCTGTATCATCCCAAATGTACTTAGATTTAATCGTTCTCTTTTTTTTTCCGTAATCTAGATTATTTTTTTTCTCGTTTCTTTCTGTGTATTATCTTGGTATTTTTCTCCATCTGACAACACCAGCGATAATAGAAAATGTTTATTTACGAATACCCAAAATAACCCATCAGTATTAATATATAATCGATCTCATATTTTATTCTTATATCATCAGTAACCCATTGCACTACTTATTATTATATACAAATAAGTTTTTTAGGTCAACGTATTTTTTTAGATTCAATCGAAATGGAAGATATTAACGTTCCATTTGTTGAAGTACATTATATTACAATTCAACAAGTTGGTAATGTACCTATAACTAAAGGTGATTTTCAATCTCTTCCACATCAAGTACAAACATGGCTTGCTCAAATGGTAAACAAAAATTATTGTTTGATTTAATAAAAAATCTTTTCTTATAATCTAGATACAATTGTGTGCTCCCCGTGCTGTATATATTTGTGATGGATCAGAAGAAGAAGCTGAAATGGTTACAAATAAACTTGTTGAACGTGGTACATTAACAAAATTAACAAAATATGAAAATTCTTACATCTGTTGGACAGATCCTCGAGTAAAATAATTTTTTTCAAGTATCTTTTAATTATATATTCAATTGAAATATTTTTAGGATGTTGCTCGTGTTGAATCAAAGACATTTATTGTTACAGATAATAAATATGCATCAATACCACATTCACGAGAAGGTGTCAAATGTGTACTTGGTCAATGGATGTCACCTAGTGATATGAAACAAGAACTTAATGATAGACTTCCTGGATGTATGGCTGGACGAATGCTTTATGTTATTCCATTTAGTATGGGACCAATTGGTTCACCATTAAGTAAAATTGGTGTACAAATAACAGATTCGAATTATGTCTTACTTTCAATGAGAATAATGACACGTGTTTCATCAGAAATCTGGAAACATCTTCGACATAATGAAGAATTTGTTAAATGTCTTCATTCAACCGGTAAATAAATCTTTAACTTTTGTTATAAAAAAAATAAGTCGTATTCATTTAGGTGTTCCTCGACCACATACACAAAAGATTATTAATAATTGGCCATGTAATCCAGAAAAAATACTTGTAAGTTACTACAAAGTATATTTCATCTATTGTATACATTTTAATTTCAGATTTGTCATTTTCCGGATATTCGAAAAGTGATTAGTTATGGATCAGGTTATGGTGGCAATAGTTTACTCGGTAAAAAATGTTTTGCTCTACGTATTGCCGGTCGTATAGCTTATGATGAAGGATGTATGTACACTTAATTATGAAAACAAAAAAAAAATGAATGTGTTTTTTTCAATAAATAGGGTTAGCGGAACATATGCTAATCATGTCAATAACAAATCCCAAAGGTGAAGAAAAATTTATTGCTGCTGCTTTTCCATCAGCATGTGGTAAAACAAATCTAGCTATGTTAACACCAACAATGCCTGGTTATACTGTTCGATGTATTGGTGATGATATCGCTTGGATGAGATTTGATAAACAAACAGGTGAATTAAGAGCTATTAATCCCGAAACTGGTTTCTTTGGTGTTGCACCGTAAAATTTTTTTCGTTTATAATTATTATTAAAATAAATCTTTCGATTTTTTTTCTTCTTTCTTTTAAGTGGTACAAATATGAAAACAAATCCGAATGCTATTTTAACATGTTTAAAAAATTCTATATTTACTAATGTTGGTGAAACAGCTGATGGTGGGTTTTATTGGGAAGGTCTTGAAAATGAAACACCACCTGGTACGGAAATTATTTCTTGGACTGGTGAACGATATAAGTTAGGAGAAGATAAAACAAAAAAATCAAGTCATCCAAATGCAAGATTTTGTTGTCCAGCACGACAATGTCCTATTATACATGATAAATGGGAAGATCCAGCGGGTGTACCTATATCAGCTATTATTTTTGGTGGACGAAGACCAGAAGGTGTTCCACTTGTTATTGAATCATTTGATTGGAAACATGGAATATTTCTTGCTTCACAACTTAAATCAGAAACAACGGCAGCTGCTGAACATACAGGAAAACAAATTATGCATGATCCATTTGCTATGCGGTAAATATAAACTTACAGTTTGTTTTTTGTTTTCTAAATATTATCTTTAGACCTTTTGTTGGTTATAATTTTGGACATTATATTCAACATTGGCTTGATTTTGAAAAAGATCCAAAAAATAAAGTAAGTTTTATGAAAAAATAAAATTATCTATCTATAACGATTCTATTTAGTTACCAAAAATCTTTCATGTTAATTGGTTTCGTTTGGATGAAAATAAGAAATTTCTTTGGCCAGGTTTTGGTAAATTATTTAAATAGAAATATAAAAGAAAATAAATTCATTTTTAGGTGATAATATTCGTGTACTTGATTGGATTGTTCGACGTACAAATGGTGAAGATATTGCTGAGATATCATCGGTTGGTCTTATACCAAAAAAAGATTCGATTAATCTTCAAGGTCTTATCGTTGATTGGGATAAATTAATGAGTGTACCAAAAGATTATTGGAAAGAAGATATTGAAGAAACATTATCATGGCTTGATGGACAATTAGGTGATGATTTACCACATGATATTCGTATTCAAATTGAACAACAAAAACAACGTATATCACAAATAAATTAAAATGATAATCAATCTTACGTTCTTAGATAGATCAAATCAATCATTATGCAGTTGAATTTGTAGATTTTTGTAAAATTATTTTATCAGAATCTTATTTATTTTTTATTATTGGAGAAAGTTCAGTTAAAAATATAATTTTTCTTAAATTAATCGAAAAAGAATTTCATTCAAAGCTTTTTACGTAAAATGATATGCATTTATTCAAGTTTCACTCAATTGTGAAATGTGATACGAAGCTTCAAATTCTAAAGAATTGATAATTTGGAAAAGCGAATACTCATCTCTGAGAATGATAGTCTCGATATTTTCACACTAAAACTATCAATGATAATATTCTTTGAATGGAAAAGAATAATAAATTTTGATCAAATTCTAACAAAAAAATAGATATGTTAATGTATCAGTCCTTAAAAACCGACGGGAGTTTCCATGAGAATAGAACTTCCGAACCATCAGTATGATCGTGTTATAGTTATGAAAAAGGTATCTCTTTTGACGATAGATATATAGGATGTCTCTTCCAATGTTTTTTACTTATATATTGAGGGTGCGAGTGTGGGTACACTTAGAATCAACCACACCCATATATTCTTGATTTAGAACCCATAAGAAGTTAAATGTTTCGTTGCTTGAATCTGATGAGATCATCGTTGTTGATAGCATCGAATGTGTTTTATAGGGTCTATTCTTTCACGGAATGTATCAAAATGTCTTTTTATACCAGCAGCCATATAGGAAGTTAATTTTTTTTCTTTCCCTTGTTCACATGATTTTAAATGGAATAATGCAGTGTTCTTTCTCTTTTCATAAAAAGAAAAAAACACTATACTGATTGATTACTTAGTATATTTTTATATTGTTATTCTTTTTGGATTCTGATTATTTTCTCCGATTTACCAACTTTACTTTTTGTTTGTCACTTGCGAAAAAATAACTTCATCATTTTAATAAACTGCCTTCATCACTGGCTTCCAACATACATTAAAAAGTAAAAAATATTATCAAGAATTCTAGCACATAATTCATTCATTCTAAATTATTGTTGACGTGGTAAGTTTTTGGCTGTTTTCATATTGCACGAAATAACCCTGAAGAAGCAAGTCAATATAAACAAATCAAGGAAAAAAGAATCGATTATTCTAATATTTATTCAGTAGAACTATCATTTTGTCATGAATAATCAAATGATGTTTGATAAATTATTTTATATTATAATTAAATCTTCATATAATAGCTTTTTTCTCCTCTTAACACATTTTTCTATATGATATAACTGTTTAAAATTATTTCTCTTATTTATTCGAGGGTATGTATGTGTGTGTGGAGTAATTCAATACCGACATCTACACGTCACACTCTAACTACCCACACCCTAATTTTATTTGCAAAATACGATAGCGTAAGAATGCATTCACTACGAGTCACGTTATTGACATTTATAATTAATAAGAATACTCGAAAGAAACGTACTCGAATAATAAATACACATAATTATAACCAGAGAGTCTGACACATGAATAGTTTTTATTTAAATTCAGTTATGATGCTAATTTTATTTGTAGATTATTTACTGTGCTTGTTACTCGAAAACATTCTTTCATATAAACATGCCTACAGATTGGTATCAATTAAATCAGTCTTTAAATAGTACATCAACTACATCAAAGAATCCAACAACAACAACAAATGAAATATCAACTCAATCTCAAATAAAACAAAGTATGTTTCATTAAATAAAAATTCTTCTCAAAAGTAATAAAAATGATTTTCATTTAAAAACATTTTACTAAATGAAAGTTTTATAAAAATCAAATAAAGAATTTTTAATTAGAAAATTTGAATTGAATGAAGATCTTTTATTTTAGAACATAAGAATAAATTTCAAAAGTTTGCAACTACTGTTGCTGGAGGACATAGGAAAGGACAAGAATTAAATCAACTCTATTGGCCTGAAGGGATCTTTATTGATAATGATAAATCAATTTATATTGCTGATTCTTATAATCATCGTATTGTTAAATGGAAATTGAATTCAAATGAAGGTCAAATTATTGCAGGTGGAAATGGAAGAGGGAATCAAAATAACCAATTGAATTATCCAACAAATATAATTTATGATAAAGAAAATAATTCTTTTATTATTTCTGATTATATGAACAGACGAGTAATTCGTTATTTTGATCAAAATCAAACAAATCAACAAATTCTTATTTCAAATATTGATTGTTATGGTCTGGCAATCGATAAAAATGGACATATTTATGTTTCTGATTATGTGAATAATGAAGTCAGACGATGGAAACAAGGAGATAAAAAAGGTGAATTAGTAGCAGGTGGAAATGGTCAAGGAAATCATCTTAATCAACTAAATGGTCCTCATAATATACTTATTGATGATGATTATTCTCTTTATATATCAGATCAGAACAATCATCGCGTAATGAAATGGAAAAAAGGTGCAAAAGAAGGTGAAGTTGTTGCTGGTGGAAATGGTCTTGGAAATAGTCTCAAACAATTACATCAACCTCAAGGAGTGATTGTTGATTATTTGGGTCAAATCTATGTGGCAGACTGTTGGAATCATCGAATAATGCGTTGGTGTGAAGGAGATAAAGAAGGTGAAATTGTTGTTGGCGGAAATGGTTTAGGAAAGCAATTAAATCAATTAAATTTTCCCACAGGTTTATCATTTGATAATGAAGGCAATCTTTATGTTGCTGATTATTATAATTATCGAATCCAAAAATATAAAAAAACTCTAAATTAAAAATATTTCCAGTTTAATTTAATAAAATTTCGATTTTTATTTTCTATTAGTAAAACATTCGAATTTGATAATTCAATTTATAAACTAAAAAAAAATGATTCCGAAAAGAAGAACAGATTAATGTTGAATATGAAGTTAATATTAAACATGATCAAGAATTTATCACTAATGATCTTATGTATAATTGTTTCGTAATTTGTTATGATTGAACGGATATTAAAATTATTTTATTTGATCCTCTAACTTTTAATGACACATTATACTTAGAACTCATTTTCATTGTGACTTGATTAATAGTATTGAGAGAAATATTATGTTTATTCATATGAATTATTATTCAAATGCAATTGAATTCTACTTAATATCATCAAAAAAACATAAATCATTGGATGGATAGGTTCGTATAACAAATAAATATGATGGAAAAAGAAAGTATAATGCAATGAATACCGTTGAAGAAGACTTTAAATTCAGTAAAGCGAATAAATTCTATATGTTGAATGTGTTTATCTAATGTCTAAACTCAACATAGTCAAGTTATATACAAATAAATTTGAATAGAAAAAAAGGTTATTATATACAGTTTTTATTATTATCATTATATTCGAAACATTTTATAGTTATTTATTGAAATAGATCATGCAAAATGGTTAATTTTTTTCTAGTATATAAATTTCAATGTTTTTCAACGATGAAAACCACCGCTCGCTACTTTGCTTCTGTCAAAAGTTATTCAAACAATACAAATCTTAACTCATCGACGTCGAAATGGACATTAGTATGCGATACATAAAAACACAACATTAATAAAACTTACAGAAGTTAGAAGAATCACATGAGTAAAGAGAATGAGTTAGTTGATGAGAGGAATACTGATATAGTTTTCAAGATCTTTTCTATACTTTCAAAAAGGTCTCTATCTCTTGTAACTGTTTTAAATGATGAAATGTTTTTTATAGTATTATTTAATCGACTTTCCAAGAAGTTCATAAAAGACAAGGTATATTAAGCTAATCAAAATAATTTCATGAATTCCTTTCGAAATATGGTACCACATAATAATGTATAGATGTAAAATTCAATCGAATTATTAAGAGAGAGCTTGGACACTAACATTGAAACTTATATTGTAAATTGAATGATGTAACCTATTGGGTTGGCAAGAAAGTTCTGCCGTTTCTAGGGATGAAAAAGTGGCGGAAACCGCTTCACCATTAACCGTAGCTATGATTGGGTAGATATTGCTTTGTGATGTACATGACATCCTTACACTCACAGTTTTAATATATCTATTTCAATTTTGTGTTTCTTTGAGCTTTAATACTTTATTATGGTGTTTTTTAAGTCGAAGGAGTCACTTATCGCTGGGAATATTGGTGATTCTTCTTAAATATTGATAAATATCAGCATACACTGGTTATGCAATTCAAGTGGTTATCGTTTCACCGATTCGACCGGTATAGCGATTAATGATCGTCACCGTTATATCTCTAAATTCAAATAAGTATTGTTAATAATATATATCAATTGATTTAATCAAGACAAAATCAACAGTAGACATATCTATAGATTTTTTAATTTTGACAAGCATAGTTTGATATATTCATCATTACTTACGAGTTTTATTAGTATCATAATTCCACTAAAATAAATAGAATAGCAAATATGTCAATCTCAATCATAAATATAACATATTTATTAAAAATCTTTGTGTTCGATATAGCAAACCATCAAACAACAAGAATTGATAGATTTATTAGCTTCAGTGTACTTCTGTTCTGTATCTTTTTTCGCAGTGCATTTTTGACGTTGATTAGAAACCATATTATGGATACTTCATTAAACAGCGACGTGAGGTCTCCTATTCCAATAAATTTAAATCAACGTCGATGTTTAAACAAGCATGATTGGTTGGAACTTATTTCAAATGCTGCAATTCCACTTATGATTGGAGTTATTAGTCTTTGGATTGCTATTAATCAACAGAATGTTACACAAACTAATCGAGATAAAGATGCTGCACAAACCGCTGAACTACGTAAACAAGATGTTGAAATAGCACGATTACAACGTGACGAAGACAAAGAAACGGCACGATTACAACGTGCAGAAGACAAGGAAACCGCACGTTTGCAACGTGAAGAAGATCAAAGAACATCTCGCCTTCAACGTGAGGAAGATCGAGACACTGCTCGTCTACAGCGTGCTGAAGATAAAGAAAATGCACGTTTACAGCGTGAGCTTGAATTGAATATGACTAATGATCAACGAATACAAGACTATGCACTTGCTGAAAATCAACGAAATATATCCGAACAACAACGTGCTCGAGAGTTTGAAGTAGCATATAAAAATCGTCTAAATGATCTTAAGTTAGAAGATGATTATCAGAAGGAGAGTGCACTTTTAGAGTATCAAGATGATCTTGCAACATTATTATTAGATAATGGACTTTTACTTAGAGATCCAAATAGTAAATGGTGGTTCACGCTTCAAATGAAAACTGAAGCAGTTCTGCGCCAACTCGATCCTCCACATCGTACTATTCTTATACATACTCTTCTAGAATCTACTGTTCTTGATATCATCGTAGATTATGAGCAATCAATTCTTTACAAGGCTAATCTCAGTGGAGTGGAATTTGGACAATCTCTTGACGAAATTCATGAGAATCTTTGCACAAGATATGATATGCTGAGCGCAGCAGAAGCCGATGTTCGATATGCATCATTTCGTGGCATATGCCTATACCATTCGCCTTATTTCGCTTACTCGAATCTTGATTACACTGATTGGTCTTTTTCTACTCTTGATAACGTTCATTTCGAAAACGAAACATCAATGAATGGAGTTAAATTTACTGGCGCTGTACTAACAGATGTTCGATTTGATAAAACAATCATAATGAAGCAAGCCTCCTTCCAGTATAACATCGCATGCAGTCACTGTCAATTTTTAAAGACATCGTTTTTGGGTGCTCGTTTAGATCATTCAAATTTTTTAGAATCAACATTCTTGTCGTTAGATATGGCTGATGTCAATATGATTAATGGTTCATTTACTGCCTCGATCTTTGAAAATGTTAAACTCGATCGTGCCAATCTGTCTGGAGCTATTCTACGAGCATGCATATTTTATTCAGTATCTATGATTAACTGTTCTTTGTCTGGAGCAATATTAAACAAAACAAAATTCTCTGGAGCTAATCTGACAGGATGCACTGGATTAACTCAACAACAGATAGCTGTAATATCAAATTTATATGAAACAACATTACCTAATGGAACATTCATCAAAGGAAAACAAGTTACTTTGTAACTCTCATCATTTCATGATAGCAAGTGACTGCTGAGGTTGATTTTAAAACCAAAATATTCATCTATAATTGATGGCAAAATAGTTGAAACTTTAGTTGTTGTATTTTTCATTGGTTTTCGAAATCAATCTTTTAGCTTTTGTAGCAATATGACATGTAATTGGAGATTAATATATATTCTGATAACTAATAAATTTAAATTAATCTAATCCATTTTTCATAGTCAAACTAGCTGATTATTCAAAGACATAATTAACCAATGACAATGATGATAAAATGTTTCGTTTATGTAATGCACCTGCATTCATTCTTAACATCAAATCGTAGCTTAAGGAGAGCTTGAATTCACCCATAAATCGAAGAAGTTATACTTTGTTCTGTACAAAAGAAGATCATATAATACACTCTTTATTGTATACTTAAGTAGTTCTTGATATAATTTTCGATGATTGAAATAATTCTTCGCAACAGATATTGTTATCAGACACATAAATAACAGGATTACTTTTAATCTCCATGTCTTGTCTATCAAACTAACAAAAGTACATTTATCATTCCAGGTAATAACAAATATACTTGACAACCAATCAATATAAAAAAATACTCGACACACACTCAGATATCAACATTTTGACGGATGAATACATCATTGTTGTTCCTCACACAAACGCGCTCTGTAGACCATTTAATTCAAGTTAGAAATTAATGATGCAACATTCTATTGATGCCAATGCCCAGTCTTCTGTGATAGCACATTCCAGAAATGATTGTGGCTGTTTAAACACTAAAGATTGGTTAAAACTGGCTTCAAATCTCGCAATTCCTCTTATCATTGGTGTTTTTACTATTTTCATATCTATTAATCAGCAAAATACTGTGCAAATTAATCGAGATAAAGATGTTGCACAAGCTGCTGAACTACGCCGTAATGATACTGAGCGAGCACAAAAACAACGAGCAGAAGACAAAGAAATAGCACGATTACAACGTGAAGAAGATAAAAAGTTTGCACAACTACAACGAGAAGAAGATCAAAGAATGTCACGTCTTCAACGTGAAGAAGATCGAGAGATTGCTCGTCAACAACGTGCTGATGATAAAGAAAATGCACGTTTACAACGTGAAGTTGATTTGAAAATAGCGAGAGATAAACGAATACAAGAATATGAACTTACTGAAAAAGAACATAGTTTATATCAAAGTCAACGTGCTCATGAAGTTGAAATCGCTCAGCAAAACTACATGGCAAATCTCATTTTAAAAGATGACCGACGGAAAGAAAATATATTAATTAATTACCAACGGCAACTGGCCAAACTACTGCTTCATTACGGTTTTCAACTAAATATCTCACAGTCCACGTTACTATTCGTACTACGAATGAGAACCAGAGCAGCATTTCGCCTTCTTAATCCAGTACGTCGTTCTGTTCTTATGCATACTCTTCGTCAAGGTGGTCTTTTTGGTGAGTTGTGGAAAGCAGAAAAGTCACTTCTTTATCGAATAAATGCCAGTGGAGTACAATTTGGCCTACCAACAGACTATAGCTTCTCTAGATATTTGACTGTATATAGTTACTTGGATATAGAGCGTGCTGATCTGCGATATGCCTCATTTCATTCAGTATCGATTGAGAATGAGCCTTCGTTCGCTTATTCTAATCTAGATTATACCGATTGGTCATATGGTGAAGTTTCATTTGTCAAGTTTGATAAAAAAATAACGATGAACAATGCCGTATTTGCCAAGTCCTATTTAAAATATATAACTTTCGAGAAAATTTCAATGAATCGAGTTTCATTTCAATATAATACTGAATGTGAATATTGCATATTTAAGGAAACATCACTGTTGCATGCTCGATTTGATCATTCAAGATTTGCCGAGTCAAAATTTACTTTGCTATCAATGGCTGATAGCAACATGAGTAATGCTTCTTTTTTCAGAACGACGTTCGAACATTCAATATTGGATCGAGTCGATCTCTCGAGAGCCGATCTTTTTCGATCTACATTTGTGAATGTATCAATGGTCAACTGTTCCGTAGTTGGAGCAATATTAGAACTTACGACGTTTATAAATGTGGACCATAGAGGATGTAAAGGATGGGTTACAAATAACTTATTTTGATCATGACAATTATAAAGTTATTATAACAAATGAACTCTTCTTTCGTCATTCCTTTTAACTTAGATCTGCACTAGGCTTCGTGTTCTCATATGAATAAAAGATTTAAGTAACGTATGTTTAAACAGTACTTATCAATAATATTATAAATATTTGCACAACTCTATCTCAAAAATTTTATTTAGTGCAACTGATTGAATATCTGTCGTGCCGGATTTTCAAAATATCTATTAGTACAATCAGTTGATTTCTTCTTGTGAAATACATTCATATCTTTAACAGTGGATAAATAATACCATTTCAGTGTTATTTGTGACATTTTGGAACAATTGGAGATACACAGTATTTTATTTCAAAGATATTCAATAAATCAACTTATACTATATTTTATATACGACGAGTTCACTAATATATATTTGAAAAAATAATTTGCTACTTTTATGTGGTTATTTTGGTCAGTTATATCACCATATACTACTATAAAGTTATAGAGGAATGATCGACTGAGAAATAACAGCACAGATGGTTATTGTTAGGAAATATTAATTTAGTTCATCAAGATATTATTGATTTTTAGAAAAAAAATATATGAAAATCAGACGTGACAGACAGATTTATTCTGGTTTGATAAATTTTATCGTATCAGTGCTCAAATATTCATGATTGACAGGCATATAAGATTTTTTTTTATTATATCTTCCTGATTTCACGATACATTTATTTCGATTACAAATTACGAATGGAATCTTTTACTAACAATAATGTCGAACATCCTGCTAGAATAAGTTCAACAAGTGGATGCCATAGACTAACGATTCATGATTTTTTTAAATTCATTTCAAATCTCGCAATTCCTTTTATCATTGGTGTTTTTACTATTTTCATATCGATTAATCAGCAAAATACTGTACAAATTAACCGAGATAAAGATGCTGCACAAGCCGCTGAACTACGCCGTAATGATACTGAGCGAGCACAAAAACAACGAGC